TCATCTCTCTCAAAATAATGTCACAAGTACGACTCTAAGTACCATATGCTTGCCTCTCATGTAAATCACCACTAATGTAAGATCACTCGGCTTGAAATCACATAGGACTTTTTCAGTATGTAATGAACACTTATTGGACAAGTGTAGGGAATGTTGGAATAGAAACGGTTTCATCTTTCCTTAAGCACTCCATTTTGCTCTTTTTGGCTCATGCTTTGCCGACTCTTTGAGTCATTGTCTTTTTCCATAGGGGAACTAGAGAGACTTAACATCACTCTTTCTCGGTCATGATGTTCATTTTCTCCTTCTTTATTTCTCCATGCTTTGCATCATTGCTTTTTTTTTAATCCATTCAACTCTTCATTTTATTCACTTTCTTGTTGCATTTTTCTTTTGTTCATTCTTTCTTTTTCTTTGTCTTTCCTTTTCTTCATTTCTTCTCTTTTTATGCCTTTATACCGCTTTCAAACTCCTCATCTCTCCCCCAAACTTATGTTTTAGCCAATTACTTCTCAAAAGTGTTAAGGAAAGCTACGGTGCCAAGAAAGAGTCACTATAAACGGGTAAAGGCTTGTAACGTGACTATCAAATGAGAAAGGTCTTAGGATCAAATGGTTTGACTAGGGATAACAATATTGGTGGGACATGGACCATTTAAAGCGGGCCAAGGAGAGCCTACAATCACTTCTCAAGCCAAGCAAAACTTAGAATTTTGCCTAGAAACACATTCAGGGCAAGTTCTAGACCATTCGCACGGGTACTTAAACTTGCAATAAAAATCTCACTTCCCATACAATCGGATTGTAAAAGAAGATAGAGTCGAGGGGCCACAACAACAATATTCAATAAATCACTAATGGTTCAATTAAGCTACTCGATGAATGCTCAAGTCAACACAAGAGAAAAGGTCACTAATTAGACCTATTTCTTGCCAAGAATTTATTTTTAACCATAAGGCCGTAGTTAAATGTGTTGGTACCAAGTGAAGCATGTTTGATTCATTAATACTATTGTTTTTACCTAAACATCTAAAACGGATTCAATTCCTTAAGAAGGTTGTCACGCCATCCATCATTGAAAAGAGCCACCCAGTTCACACAAAATCCACCTTTGTAAAGAATCGTGACATTAAGAAAATCAAAGGATTATTGCTCACTTAAACGTAAAAAGAAGCTACCAAATCAAAAAGAAGCTATTAAAGTAAATAAGAAATTATATTACTAAGAAAAGCAAACTAAAGAAGCTATGAAATAAACTACTAAAAGTAAGACAAATGAATATACAAACCGAGGGGAATATAATAATATATACCCTATATGAAATACTCCTATAAAATCAAAGAAAATGAATTTTTTCCAATTATTTGCCATTTTATAGGATTGTTGTAGGATTTTATCAATTGTTTGTATTTTTGTGCACGTTTAATTTTTGTTAAAAATCATTAAAATGTCAAAAATACCATGCATTGCATTTAGATTTTTATTTTTATATTTTTAGGATTAATTAGTTAATTAATTACTTTATTAAAAATAAAAATCACAAAAATAACCCATTTTTACATTTTTTTACCTTTTAAATTTTTAGACTAGTGATTTTTCTCTTTTAATTTAGGATCAAGCAATTTTTATAAATATTATAATTAGATAATTAGTTAAATTTTACAAATTAGATTAATTTAGGGCTTAATTTAAGATTTTTTTAATTAAAGAAAAACAAAGAAAAAGGTGTTATAAATATATTATATTATGGATGTTCATTTAGTACTCTGTTGTAAATAAGCTTCCTGAAGAAGCTTATCCATATGGGACTCCACCGTAAATATGTTTATCTATTTAGTACTCTATTGGAAATAAGCTTCCTGAGGAAGCTTATCACTTCGGTACCCGGTTATAGATAACATTACCCTAAGTAGAAGATTATCCATACCGGGTATAATGAGCTTATCCATTCAGTACTCCGTCATGGATAAACATTGCTCTCAATAGAAGATTATCCCTATCTGGTATAGTAGCAGCTTACACAGCAACTTGCAGTAGCAGCTTACACAGCAGCTTGCAGTAGCAGCTTACACA